CTCTTTCCCAATTCTTCCTCATGTTAATAAGTTGCATGTGTTTGCCCAAAGCACTGCTGTGTTTTTCAGAAAAATCCAGACTTTTTGAAACTAGCTAGTTCAAAATATGCAGGCAAATCACTTTGATTCCTGTGTTGTGGTCCCCACCTCCCAAAACCACCCAGCAACATGAAAGTTTGCCAGAGTTCACATTTTCTTCATTTGTATCTGGTCAGTCAGTAGTACACAGTAAATTATTCATCTGCTTATTCTCATAAAATAAGCCTTCTGTTTTCAGACTATGCCAGGTGCAGCTGTAAACACAGAATATGAACCATTACCTGGAAAATACCACATTTTTACTGAAAAACTTCAGACACAGCTTTTGGGAATATTCATAAATTTGTGTTTTAAAATGTTAGTACCCATGTCTCATCAAAATATTGTTGAAGTCACACTAATGAAAGATTTGGAAATAAGAGTACTTTGTCTCCAAAACTTTCCTCTCCTTACTGTGTCTGTGACTTCATTTTTTTTTTAATTTTAAATTGTTCCCAGATTTCTTCCTTGATGCATACCAACATGGCAAGGAGCTAGATGAAAAACTCAGTAAAGTTTGTATAGCTAGTGGAGGGCAGAGCCAAAGGTCAACAAGCTTATCTGTGTCTGAAGCAAAGACAGACTGGAATCAGAACATGAGCAGGACAAGCACATTTAACAGAATCAGCTGAGTCATCAACAATGGAAAAAATTAGGCAATTAAGGACTGCCTTTCAGAACATAAACAGGAGATTTAACTTGATTTAAGCACTGTACTTACAGTTTGCTGTGTGCTTCTGGTTTACATTGTTTTCCAAACATTTTTTTTACTGTATCATATGTTAGCCAATTGCATTTCACCAATGCATGTCAAATACTACTTAAATACTGAATCTGTTTGTGCCCCAGCTTCAAAAGATTCAGTATTACTACCTGTAAAGTTACACTTTCCTTCAGTGTTTCAGCAGCAATTTTCCATTTGTATTACATGTCAAGAAGCTGAGGAGTGAAACTTGCTTCACGAACAAGAATACTCAGACTAACAGACAGTTGTAACTGCTGATATCCCAGCAGTTACCATGCATTGCATTTTACCTGGGGTTCCAGATAAAGCAGCTTGAGCTCCTGTCAAAGTCAACAGGCCGCCATCTTTCAGATGTTTTGTGGCTAGGTGGCTGGAAATAGTGGACGTCCAAATGCTCTGCTTCCACATCAGATCACAGTTTTTGTATAAAGCTGATCAGGAAGAGAATACTGAAATAAACTGAAAGATAAAAGACTTCCAACTCATTTTCTTACTGTCACACAGAATGCAATAGGGCTATGCAGGAGAACTATAAAAACATGCTTTCTAGCACTTTCTACCTTGATATGGAGTAAAATATCAACTCGTGTCTTTTGTATCTCCCTTCTCTACATTCTCTGAGTCCCAGCTCTACAGCATAAATTTTAGACAATTACCTGCTTTCTCACTACATTAAAAAAAAAATAAATAAACAGAGCATAGTTCCATTAGTGGTTCCAAGATTTCCAAGGTTCTTGCAAGTCCTGTAGGAGTTGCTTCAGTCAATATCAAGGATCTCAAAACTCTCCCTGTAGCCTCATCTGACCTAGTAGTAGCACAATCTCTCTCTTTCTACAACCTCCTCACTGTCTGTGAAAGAGGCACGCTCCATCAGTATGCAGATAAACTCCAAGAGATAAAGGAGTTGACCAAAAAATATTTCTTATCACCAGATTACTTCATAAACCAAGAAACAACTTGTCTGACGGTAGCACTGAAGATGCATCTGCCCTGTACTGTGGGCATTGCGGTGTCCCCAGGGGCTGCAGTGCAACCTCTGCTGGGGCAGCCTACCCAGGGTGGTACACCAGTAACTTCAAATGAAAGCAAAATTGTAACTCTCATAATTGTTTTTTATTATCCATATCTGCATGGGAAAAAGAGGAAAAACAATAACTAGCCATGGCAAATACTTCAGTATCCAGAAAGAACTGTTTCTGTAAAACAAGATGGAACAAGCATAACTATGGACACAAGCTGACCCAAGACATGCTGCCACCCTACCAATAAAATTACTGCAAATTATGATAAATTACCTTTTTTAAAATACGGTGCACACTAATAACAAACTAATACAATGCAACTGTGGTGCAAGTGTGTATGCCTTTCCATATTGTCTCTTTTTAAAATTAAACCTTTGTCTGTATTATTCAAACTGGGTGGAGGGAAGAAAATGACACATTTTACCAGATTTACTCCAGACAGAAAACAAAGTGTTTTGTTGTTTTTCTTGTATCTCTATACTAGAGGGTAAAGTATGACATTTCATTCTGATACTACACGTTTAAGAACTTTTTTAAAGCTGAAGGCTTCTTCTGCAGCATGAAATCAGATCATTAGACAGCTCCTTCCAATATTATACTGCACAGTATTAGCTCAGAGAACTGCTGGAGGCAATTGGGGTTTCATGCATAAATTAATTAGGAAACAACCTCAGTGTTTCTACCCAGCCACTGTCTGATACGATCTACCTGACACCAGTAACTTCCACAAAATCTAGGCCATAAATTATAACCCTCAACTCCTTCACAAAGCATATTAAGATTTTTCTGATTAAAATCAGAGCATCAGAGGGTATTACTGGGAATACTAAGTGCTGTGCAAATTTAAGACAGCAACAATTCAGAAAAGCACTAAGCAGGATGAGCTCAAACACCTTTACTACCATGACTTTCTAGGATCCCTCTCAGATTTACTTGTGTACACTAGCATGCATGTGCCAAAGGCTTACATTTAGCTTTGGCGCTGCCTCCAGCCCATCCTCCTGCTACACACAAGATTGCATCCACCTTTTCTTCACCAAGAAGTTTTCCAACCTCTGCTGTAACCTTCAATAGACAGAACAAAACCAAACTAAAAGCAATGCAATTATAAGATAAAGGAATAAATATCAAGATGGTTTAAAGTTCCTTTTTTTACAATTAGGTAGCTGAGTAACACAAAACATAGTAATTTAAACAGGTTATTTCTGAATTCTAAACTAAATAACTGTTTTATGAAAGTTAGACCACACAGTGTGTGATGTCACTGGAAATAACTGCTTTCCAGACTGATATATCTGATCCTTATCAATATCATTAACAGAATTTTTTATTTGGGACTTACTTTTTTGACAGGTTCTTCTCTGGGTACAGTGCTGTGTAATACAGGAAATGAAACTCCATGTCTGACCAGGCCTACTAGTGTCACTTTTGATGATAGTGCAAGAAATTAACGACTAAAGATGAGCCTTCTTATTGCTTCTATCTAGACCACAATCACCACTTTAAGTCTAGCCCCTAAATTTGAGTTTGAATACTTTTAGGTATCAGTATCTTTCAAATATAAGACTTCACAGCCAGTCATTAATTTAATGCCTATGAATTTTCTCTGTCGAAGGGAAAAGCAAACAACTCATCTCTCAACAACAGAAAAAAAACCCCCAAACTAACAGATCTACTGGTTTCCACAAGGGCTCAGTATTGAAAAATACATTGCAAACATTCTATACTACCCTTTGAAAGCTTCAAAAGTTGTGTAGCTATAAAAAAAGCAGTGGTTACTGATTCAGTTTATCAGTAAGAGAAACAGGTTCAAAAGTTGAGATGAAAAAAATAGAAAAACAAACCCTATCTGCTGAGAATAAAGCAGAACAGTTTTTAAGAGAGATTTGATCTGTCCCATGTTCACCTTTGTGGAAAACAAGTGCATTCTCCAGCGATGCCACTGGGGCATCTCCATGCTCTGAGTGTACCTCCCAGCTACATGCAACACGCTTACGAGCTAGGAAACTGGAAAGAACTGTTGCATTTTAAGATGGCCTAATCCATCTCCACGATACTTCTCCGACTCAGACCACGACTTTTCCAGTCACCAAGAGAAAAGTAATGCTAAAACTGTCTTATGTACCGAACCCCTGAAGTCCCAGATCACGCTCTTTGTAAACACCCATGCCCGCCTGCAGGCAGAAGGAAACGAAAGAAACGAATGAAGCGACGAGCAGAAGCATCCTGGGGCTGCACCGCAGCAGGACCGGCACCGGCCTGGCTCCTCTGCCCCGCAGCGCCGGCTTTTTGTCGGGAACCGGACCCACCCCCGCCGGGCAAGGGGCGAACAGCAGCGCACCCGGGGGCAGCGAGGCCGGACACATCCCCCGGGCCGGCCCCGGCCTCCCGCGCAGCGCCCGCCCCGCATCGCCGCGCCGCCCCCACCTGCTCAG